GGGAGGCGCGTGACTAGGTGGTAGAGAGTGAGCCAGAGCGGGGGTGGGTTCGTGGCGAGGAACTTATCAGGCATAGCGGCGCGGAAGCGAGCCTCACTAGTGCGGAGGTGGGTAATGAGGTCAGCGACAGTGTGAAAGGAAGCTAAGTCGGGGAACAGGTAGGGAAGAGAGAGATGGCCTAGAGCAGCAGAGGCCGGTGAGGAGTAGCGGGCAACGACAGCAGTGTACAGTGCCTGTGCAGTCTTGTGCTGCCCAAAGTGGTCGCGCTCATCTATCGGCAGAGAGTTGCGAATAGCGAAGCGAGCATGGGCGTCACGAGTCTGCCACTGTAAGCGAGCAGTGCTGTCGGTAGTAGCAGCAGGAGCAGTAGCGTGGCCTAGGGCGTGATCGTACAGCGAGATGTCTTCCTTGGCAGTGAGCTGTAGGAAGAGGTGTAGGTCATCAAGCCAGGTGTCGAATTTCACTGGGCGGCCCTCAGCATCGAAGGCTAGCACAGGAGGGCTAGCCATGGTAGCAGCAGTAGTAAAAGCAGTAGGAGCAGTAGGGTAGGTAGGGCGGCGCGGCTCGGTACAGGTAGGGCGGCGCGGCTCGGTATAGGTAGGGCGGCGCGGCTCGGATCGGGCGGCGCGGCTCGGTTCGGGCGGCTCGGTTCCGTTAGGGCCGGGTTGTTCGGTGCGGGCGGCGCGGTCTGGGAGGGGCCGTTCGAGGCGGCTAAGGGTGAGCGCGGGGAGCGGGTGGGGTGAGGGACGGGGCCGACGCGGGCCGAAAGGGGTAGGGATGGGGCCGACGCGGGCTGATAGGGGTAGGGATGGGGCCGACGCGGGCTGTTAGGGGTAGGGACGGGGCCGATGCGGGCCTTTAGGGGTAGGGACGGGGGCCGACGTGGGCCTCTAGGGGTAGGATCGGGGCCGTCGCGGGCCTCTAGGGGTAGGGACGGGGCCGTCGCGGGCCTCTAGGGGTAAGGACGGGGCCGTCGCGGGCCTCTAGGGGTAGGCTCGGGGCCGACGCGGGCCTCTAGGGGTAGGCTCGGGGCCGATTCGGGGGCCTCTAGGGTAGGCGCGGGGCCGACGCGGGCCTCTAGGGGACGAGCTCGGGGCCGGCGCGGGCCGTTAGGGTTAGGCGCGGGGCCGATTCGGGGCCTCTAGGTGCAACAGCGCGGGGCCTACAGGGCCTCTAGAGGCGTGAACGCCCAGGCGCCCTAGGGTAGGTAGGAAGATAGGCAGGTAGGTGGTGGTGGGCCCTTAGAAAAAACGGTCCTAGGAAGGACCCGCTCTATATCATGTTGAACAACGAATGAATGAACTAACAGTGAAATGAGTACAAGTAGGAAACCCTAGAATTGTGTACCCCCTATAGGCTAACCCACTGAAGCCTAAACAACTACAACATATATATATAATGTTTGACAAGGCGTAGCAGAAAGAATGAACAGGACTCTGCAGAACAGCATGCGCAAACTGTTGCGTGGCATGCGGCTACCCAACCACCAGTGGCCTGCAGCAATGGACCACGCTGTCATGCTGCACAACTTGCTGTCGTCATCATCGCTTTCGAACAACGCATCACCGCATCTGCTGTGGACAGGGAAACAGGGCAGCACAAAAATGTTACGAGTGTTCGGATGCATGGTACAGTACCGACCCCCAGCAGCACGAGCGGGAAGATTTTCACAACACGCACAGTGGGGACTACACCTCGGCATCGAAAAGAATTACAACGCATGGAAAATCTTCGATATCCACTCCAAGGAAACAGTAGCAGCACGCGACGTCATCTTCTACGAACGACTCACACTCCAGACATACCTTGCCAACCTGCAAGAGGACCAAGATCCCACAGGTGGTTTTCGTGGAGACCGAGCCTTCGCCTCCGCAGAAGACGAAGCTAACTTGGACGAGCAGAATGTGGACAACGCGTCAGAAGAAGCCGGACCTCTACCGTTCTGCTCCGTCGAAATTCCCATGGACGAAGACAACCCTCGCGAAAGCGTCAACGCCGAAACCTTCCACTACTTCGCTGACAACGGTTACGTAACACCTGCGACAGTCAACACCAACGAAGCAGAACGAGTAGGACCAAATTTCTTACCCGGTCAAGAAGCGGGAGATGAAGCAGCTTATCCCGAGGACGCAAATCTTCCCCGCTACTCACAAACTGGACTGCAGATACTCGGCCTCGTCACCGCAGTCCATGGAGCCACTCTTCCTAAGGAGCCTGCGACGGTTCAACAGGCTCTGGGGGGGGAACACAGGGAGAAATGGCGTGAAGCCATGGACAAAGAGTTAAAAGCGCTGGAGGACCGGAACACCTGGAAAGTCGTTCCCATCAGCGTGGCGAAGAACAAAACCATCCTCACCGGGAAATGGGCCTTCTGCGTTAAAACAAAAACAGATGGCACAATTGAGAAGTTCAAAGCACGCTGGGTTGTGCGTGGATTCGATCATGAGCACGGATGGGACTTCACCGAGACATTCGCCCCGGTTAGCCGACATACCTCACTTCGAATCATCCTCGCGATCGCTGCCATGAAGAAAAAGAAGCTGTGGCAAATCGACGTCGCCAACGCATTCCTCTACGCACCTGTTGATGCCGAAATCTTCGTCGAGTTACCACACAGCTCCCACGGAGAACCCAACCAAGTTTGCCAGCTACTCAAGTCACTCTACGGCATCAAGCAGGCCCCGCGACTGTGGCAACAGCACCTGCACGCTCTCCTCATCCGCATCGGCTTCAAGCAACTACCACACGATCAAGGCATGTACCGGCTCACTAAAGACAAAGACTACATTCTGCTAATCGTCTACGTGGATGATCTTCTCTACATCGGCTCGACTGATGGCATAACCACCTGGTTTGAAGGGGAGCTGCAGCGAGATCTCACGCTCACAGTCTCATCTACCGTCACTCAGTACCTCGGCCTCAACATCCGCGAAGAAAAGAACGCGATCTACCTCAGCGACGAAAAATACGCCGACACTATCGCCAAACGCTTTACGATCACACCAGCAGCCATCTCCACGCCATACCGCTACACGGTAGGGAACGACAAAGGAGGCTCCGCCCTACTCAAACCCGCCGGCATACGAGACTACCAGAAGAAGCTGGGATGTCTACTCTTCGCAGCCGTCACCTGTCGTCCCGACCTCTCATACTCCGCAAGCCAGCTCGCTACCTATCTCAAAAGGTCTGAAGCAGAGCATCTGGCGGAACTCGACCGCGCTCTTCACTACTTCGTCAGCACCCCGACGCTCGGCCTGACCTACCATAAGAACGCAACTGCACCACCTAAGCTAATCGGTTACGTCGACGCAGATCACGCGGGCGACTCCGACAACAGACGATCACGCACCGGCTATATCTATCGCTTCGAGCCTATCGGGCCTATCTCCTGGCAATCGAGCAAGCAAGAACTAATTACTCTCTCGTCAGCTGAAGCAGAATATATTGCACTCTGCTCAGCCACCAAGGAAGGACTCTACCTTCGCGAACTGCTAGAAGAAGCGAAGTTAGCCGAGTTACCCAACTTCACCCTTTTCTGCGACAACCAATCTGCAATCCGCATTGCCAACAAGAACGGCTTCGCAAACAGGACGAAACACATCGCCCTGCGATACTTCTTCGTGAAGGACGAGATCGAGAAGGGAAGACTCGTCCTGTCATACTGTCCCACGTCCGAGATGGCAGCTGACTACCTGACCAAGAAACTCGGAAAACAGAAGTTTGAATACTGCATGTTGCTGACTGGACAGAGCCACGTCAGCGACACTCCAGAAGCGAAGGGGAGTGTTGGAAACAATCGGTCCTAAAGCGCTTCTATCGTGTCGAAACACCAAGGCACAAGCGAAGCAAATCATATCGAGGCACCAGCAAGTCAACCCTCGGAGGTTGAAGTAACCGCTGGAGGTTACGCGAAGGTCAAAGGTCAGCGACCTTTGACTTGACAAATACAGCGCGACAGCAAGGACACACAACTGACTCGATACTGAGCAGTTGCCCGAGTCGTCACTGTATCGAACCGCAACAGCAACAGTAAAAGTAGTTACAACCGTATCTCTTTGTATTCCTTGTACTCTTATATAATCTTGTATCTCTTTGCTTTAATCAACTTACTTTGCCCTCACATACCAACGCAAGGTGGTTCAGAATCTTCTCTTAAAACGCTTCCGCTATTACATCACTTTACCTAGAGTTTCATCCTACCAAAGATCATAATGGGCTTTTCAGCCCAACAATTTAGAACCTCGACTTCACTTGCATTTGTTTCCCTTTCGCGCATACAAAGTGTGATAAGGTGGACCATAAGGCCCCGGATATAAGCGCATGCCTGTTATAAGCGCACGCGCTTCTGTCTGGAGCACTGTGTTTATGGCCAGCCCTCGATTATAAGCGCACTCCCTATAATAGTGTGATTTATTATAAGCGCATGTAGAATGAAAATATGTCCAAACATTGTAACAATTTTCACCTTACCCGCCTATAGGGGGCATTATTTCGGCAGGCTGTATATACAGAGGATTACGGTAGTTGGATTTCAACGCATACAAAATGGGCAGCCCACAAGTCTTTTTGCCTCTCAAACACAAGACCCAGTCCAGTATGTTACCGTATGTGCCCTTCGGAGCTGCACTGCTGGCAAAAGCAAAATGCCAAGAGGCTGGTGAAGAAAAGTTCCGGCATTGCTTCCACTGTCAAGATTATGGCTCGGACTGATACAGGCAACATGCTGCTATCACAGGTACTGCTACAGGACCGGCATTGGCCGGCTATCTTGAACCATGGCAGTCACTGGGGAAAATTGGAGAGGTCTAGGTTATAGGGTTTCGGGTTTCCCAACATGCAGTTGGGTCAAAGGCAAAAGGACAAGCCACAATGTGTGGGCAGGCAGGCAGACAAGACAAGCCATGGTAGGGTATTGGTAGCCTGCTCTGCAAAATCGTGCACCTTTCAATGTGGAGTGAAAATCACACATGTGAATGTGGCGAATGTGTGGTGTGGAGCGGTTAGTGAAAAGGGAGTGGGTCGCAGAACATAGATGACACCTCCTCCAGAAAAGACGAAGGGATTGGGGAGGTGCTTTCTCTCAGGCCACCACTCCCCATGCCGCTGTTGCTGGTGCTGCTGATGGGAATGTTGCAGTTGCTGATGCTGGGGAACCCGTTGCTGCCCGTGACATTCTTGCTGCCGTTCTTGCTCTTGTTGCTCTTGCTGTCGCCGTTGTTGTTGTTGCTCCTGGTGTTGTTGTTGCTTGTGTTGATGCTAGTGGCTGGCAGGGCCGTGTTGCTGTTGCTGCTGGTGCTCTGCATGCCTAAATCGCGCCGGATGGAAACCCGGCCGCTGCTCAAGCTGCTGCTGCGCATGTGGGTGTGCGTGTGCAGGTCTGTGTGCATGTGTGTGGGACCCATGGGTGTAGGGATGTGGCAATGTGCAGGGTGCGGGGCTGGTGGCAGCAAGGCGTGGTGGGGGGCCATGGCAGTAGTGAGCATGGCATGTGCGTGCATGGGCGGTGCAGCATGCATGGGGTGCATGCGTGCAGCATGGGGATGCATGTGGGGAAGAGGAGTGGCAGAAGGGGCGGGGGGAGGGAAGGCAGGGTACGGAGGAGGCGGGAAGGGCGGCCAGAAGGCAGTGGGGGGAAGGCCCATGTGGGCGGGCCACATGGGCGGGTGGGGCAGGTGGGGGTAGTGCGCTGCTGGTGGGGGATTGTGGGGAAATACAAAGGGGGGTGGAGAGGATATGAGAGGGATATGAGGGAGGAGAGTGGAGCAGAGGTGCGTGAAACCAGCTGACAAATGCGGTGGCGAGGGGCAAGGGGGAGAAGCGATACACCAGCACGGAACGACACAGAAAGACACGGAAAGTATATGAGTTGGGGAAAAAGGAGCTGGCATGGAGTGAATGAGAGCAGGACTCACCGGCAGGTGAACGGAAGGACAGATCCATGGGTGAGCGGCCCTTCCCCCCATGCTTCTCACCCCCGCCCCTGCCTCCCACACCTTCTGCCCCTCCACTGGTACACCTTCCTCCACTGCCCCTTTCCTCTTCCCCTTCGTCTCCCTCGCCCCTCACACCCTTTCCCCACTCTCCCTTCTCATTCCTTTCCACGGCTACTCTTTCCCCCTCCTCGTTCCCCTCCATCCCCTCTTCCTCCTCCTCCTCCTCCTCGTCCTCCTCTTGCTCGCCCTCGAATGAGTGGCTCATGTAGCCGCCAGGAAGGTATGGGGGAGGAGGGTAGAGGTGGGACGGGAAGTACGGGAAGGGAGGGAAGGGCGCGGATAGGGGCGAGCGTGGGTCTGCAGCACGCGCTGCTGCTGCTCTGCTCCCTGCCGCTGCCGCTGCTGCTGCTGCTGCTGCTGCTGAAGCTGGTGATGAGAGCGTTGAGGGGGGTGGTGGCAGGTGGTGCGTAGGGAAGGGCGGCATGATGGGCGGCGGAGGGAACAAGGTCTGTAGGCATGGGGTGGAGGACAGGGGGGAGGACAGGGGGAGGACAGGGGGTGAAAGGAGAGGGGGTTGAGTGGCGACGATTGATGACAGAGAGAGGAAGGGGAGAGAGGAAAGGGAGAGAGGGAGAGAGTGGAGAGAGGGAGAGAGGGAGAGAGGGAAGAGAGGGAGAGAGGGAGAGATGGGAGAGAGGGAGGAGAGGGGAGAGAGGGCGAGAGGGGAGAAGGGGAGAGAGGGGAGAAAGGGAGAGAGGGGAGAAAGGGAGAGAGGAGTACAAATGGAGGAGAACGATGGCGGAAAAGATGAGAGCGGGTGAGTGGGGCGAGGCAAGCGGGAGGGACGGAAAAGAGGGAAACGGAGGGAGGAAGGGAAGCGGAGCAGGAAAAGGAGGGGGGTGGGGAAGAGGAAAGGAAGGGAGAGAAAAGGGAGAGGAAGAGGGAGAGGAAGAGGGAGAGGGAGAGGGAGAGGAAACGGGAGAGGGAGCGGGAGACGGAGCGGGAGAGGGAGAGAGAAGAGGAGAGACATGACGTGCCTACCTGAGGAAGAAGAGAGAAGTGAAGAGGGAAACATGAGAGCCTACCTGAGGCAGGGGCGGAGGCGGGAAGAAGCCCGCAGGCAGCATGGGGTAGGGCGGCGCCACGTGTGCTGCTCCCTGCCTTGCCTTCCCCCGCCCTGCCACCTCCCCCTCCTCGCCCACACTGCTCCCCCTCCCATCCGCACCCGCATGCGCATGGGAGTGGGTGTGGGAGTGGGCGTGGGAGTGGGAGTGGGGGTGGGAGTGGGAGCGGGGATACACACTGCCACGCGTGCGTGCATGGGGAGGGCCGTGGGCGTGCGCGAGGGGCAGGAGCGGGTCTGCAAGCGCGGCAGGTGAGCCATACGGCAGAGCACCGTGCGGGGCAGTGGGCTTGCCGTGGCCGTAGCTCATCATCCCCTCCATCGCCCCACCTGCCCCCATTGCTCCCATGGCCCCCACGCCTGCCTTGTGAGGCGAGCTCTGCAACACGTCTCTGCCGTATGCGTGCGCGTGGGTGCGCGCATGCATGCCCATGTGCGAGCTGCCTTGCCCGCCCTGCCCTTGCTTCCCGGGGTGGGTGTGGTGTGCGGAGGTGCCGTGGGCGAGGTCGCGCAGGCGCGGGTCGGAGGCGAGCAGCTTGTGCAGATGCTTGTTCAGCACACCCTCTGCGAACTCCACCACGTGCCGCCTGGGGAGAGGGCAGGAGGGCACGCGAGGCACAAGGGGCAGACGGGCACGAGAGGCACACGGGGAGGAGGGAAGGGGAAAGGCGGTAGGCGTTTGAGCAGCTTGTGCAGGTGCTTGTTCAGCACGCCCTCTGCGAACTCCACCACGTGCCGCCTGCCCTGCACACAGCACATACGGGGAAGGCGAGGTGTGAGAGAGGGAAGGGGAAGGTGTTAGGCGCCTGACAAGCTTGCGTTGTGTCAGGGCAGAAAGGAGGGAGGAAAGAATGGCGGAGGGGGAAAAGCACTGGGGAGATGGAGGAGCAATGATACGCACTCAGCTGCATGTTTACTGGGTGGATGTGAGGATGTGAGAATGTGAGGATTCACCTGAACCCTCTTCCTGATTTCACCTGAATCCAGCTGCTGTTTTCACCTGAAGCGCCTGGTGGTTCACCTGAAGGAGTTGGCCTGGCCGGCGGTGAAGTCGGGCGTGGACTGCCAGAGCGTGTGGCGGCGCGGCTGTGGATTCATCTCCTTGAAAAACTGGGGGGGCCGTGACACCTGGGGTCGAAAGGTGGGGGGAGGGGGAGACGGGGGGTGGGGGGTGGGGGAGACGGGGGGTGGGGGGTGGGGGGAACGGGAGAGGCAGAGGGCGGGAGTGGGAGAGACGGATTAGGGGAGTGAGGAAGCGAGGGAGTGAGGGAGCAAAGAGAGGAGGACCAATGGAGATAATGTGATGAGTGAGGAAGCGGTGGAGCGAGGGGGGGAGGAGAGGGAGAGAGGAGGTGCAAGACGACAACGCAGAGAGTGCCAGCAGTGAGCTGAGAGGCTACACGAACAGAGCCCCAGATAGACCCCATCTCGTCCTACGTATCTTTCCAGCGCCCCCGCCCCTCTATCGGCCCCCAGCCCTCTATCCTCCCCTGCCCGTCCACGTGCCCCCGCTCCACTATCCGAGCCCGCCCCACTATCCTCCCCCGCCCCTCTGTGTGCGCGCGTACCTCGATTTCGAGCACGCCGGGCTGGCCCTTGGCGGTGGAGGCGCGCAGCGTGGCGATGTCGCCCCACTGCACCTCGATCTTGCTCTTCAGCCCGCCCTCCAGCACCTCCCACACCAGCTTGCGCTTCGCGAAGTAGCACTTGGCCACCAGGTCGCCCTCGTACTTGCTGCGCCTCTGCCGTTATTGTACGGCCGGGAGGGGAGGGACAGAGGACGGGGGGGGGAACGGAGGGCGCGGGAAAAGGGACGGGGGATGGAGGAGGAAGGGGAGGAGGGAGGGAGCGAGTGAGGGCGTGAGCAAAGGAGGCGAGGGATGCGATGTGGAAGGGGGAGAAAGGGTACGCGGGGAGGATGCGGAAGGCAACGTTGACGGGGGTTTAGAGAGGTTTTAGCAGTCCAGGGGTGACTGGATTTCGAGGCCGCATTGAACGCCACCATGCGTGGGGTGGAATCGTGCCGCCTTGTATCCCGTGCGGAATGCTCACTCACTCACGACATGCCACCTCAAGTGACACATTCCGGCTTGCAAGCCCCTCAAACCCACTACGTCCGCGCTGCATCAGCGCTACATCCGCGCTGCATCCGCGATACATCCGCGTCACATTCGCGCTATAGTCGCGCTACATTCGCGCTACAGCCATCCTCCGAGCGCACCTCCCAGGAGCCGATGGTCATGCGCGTGGCGGGGAAGTTGGACGCCTTCAGCTTGTCCGCCGGCGGCGCCGGCAGCGCCGGGAACGGCGCGCTGAACGACGCGAGTGCGCCCTCCGCCATCAGTGCGGACCCGCCGTCGGGGGACGCGAAAGCCCCGTCTACCGCGGTTGCACCTCCGCCGAACGCCACTAGCGCCGGTATTCCCTTGCCCTGCGCGCGCCCCTGGTCCTGCGCGCGCTGGTGCGCCGGAGCGCTACCCGGGCGGACAGGCTCGTCCCGCTCGCGGATTCCATTCCCCCGAGCGCTGTTGCCCTGCGCCATTCCCCTGCCGTCCAGTTCCGCCTCGCTGCTGCTACTGCTGCTGCTGCTGTTCATTCCCCCTCCGCCCATCCCGCGTGCCGTCCGCTGCGCGTCGCTTCCGCGCTTCGTGTGCGCCGGCCCCGCGGGTTCTCCGCCTTCTCCGCCGCTCGGTACGCCCGTCCGCGCCTCTTCTATCATATCCACGTCGCCAGAACCGTCGCCCGCTCCGTCGTCGGCAGCGTCGCCAGGAGCGTCGCCAGTAGTGTCGCCAGCGCCCTCCGACAGCCTGTGCGAAATGAACTCCACCAGCGACGGCGTCTTGCGAAGCGTCAGCCCGAGCGGGCTCGCCTCCGCGACAGCCTCGCGTGACACTAACGGGGGCAGCTGATCCTCCCCGCTGCCTCCATTGTGACAATGTGGGATGTGACTGTACGGGGGGCGACAGTCCGCAAGCGTCGCAGCCACCGGCTCCCCCGGCGTTGAAGCATGCGGCGCGGTGGCGCGATCGAGAGAAACATGCACCGAACCACCGCCAGAAGCGGCGGGCTTCGCGGCGTGTTTGGCGGAGATGCGGTCAGGCGGAGGCGCCATGGGCGCAGGCGGGGCGGAAGGGGTGACGGCGGAATCGATCTGAGCGGAAGGGGGGTTGAAGGGGAACGCGTGGCGGAGGAGAGTTGCAGAGAAATGAATGGTGACAGTCGAACAACAATCGACTCCGGCGAGAACGAGACGAGGCGCGAGGAGAAAACGATTGCGACGGAAAGCAGACAGGCGTTACATGCGAGTTGGGGAAATGTGTATGTAGATCGGAGGAGAGGGGTTGAGAAGGGATTAGGGCTAATCAATGGATTAGGGATGACCGCAAACTGGTCAGAGATGACCCTGAGAATGACGAGGCATGAATGTCAGGCGTACGAGGGTGGTTGAGAGTGGATTAGGGCTGAAGCAAAGGAATGGCCACACACTGGGTTTGGGATGACCCTGAAACCAATGAGACAAGGATGTGAAGCGGACGACGGGGGGTGGAACGCGACTCTAAAATGGAAGCGGTGGCGGTATGAGCGGCTGAAAATGAGCTTCCTTTGTGTATCATGCTCTGTGTGTGCAGCCATGGCGCGGGCGGCTACGCCATGGCGCATGGACGATCCAGAAAATGCGGATCCAGGCGTGCTTCACCCCGGTCGGCGTGATCACACCTCCGATCGCGTCACGACAGCCCGACGGACCCATCCCGCCTACCCGCCTCGTGCTGCCGCCAGAACCGCAGAACAGGCTCGGTAAATGGCAATGTGCTCGGCCACTGGCAGCACGAGAAAGGGCATTCTGCTCGGTACCTACGTTCTTGGATCCTGCACCAGCTTCGAGGTAGCACTGACGTTTCCTTGGTATGCGCGGATGGGAGCTAATTTACCGAGCCTGTCAGCTGTTGTACCGAGCCTGAAGCTGCCGTACCGAACATGGAAGGTCTGAACCGCACCTGGAAGCTGATCCCGCCCGTGTGATGCTTCTCCACGAAATGCTTCTCCGCTTGATGCTTCTCCATGTACTTGGCGCGCTTCCCGCCCCTCCCGTCGCCATGCGCACACGCGATTCCCTGCGAAACCAGGTTACCAGCCTCGCCGACCACGGAAATCAGCTTCACCGAACCTGCTCCTGAGCCTGATGCCGAAGCTGCAGCCAGTGCGGCGCTGGCCCCCGAGCCTGAACCCGACGTTAGGCCGAGTGCGGCAGAAGAGAGGACCGTGGGGCCGTGCGATTCGAATGCGTCAGCGGATGAGACTCGCGTGCTGGACATGCACTGCAGAGACGGCAAGGCCGCTGCGAGAAGCGAGGCCATTGATCAGGACGATATGTGAAATTACGAATCACGAATCCGGAGCTCCGGCGTGACAAGTTAGGTCAAATTTGGTCGCCGCTGCGACACTGCGTCAAATTACAAGAGTCGAATTCCCGCGGACCAGGACGGCTGATCGGGACGACCGGGTGGAGTGTAGATAAGGTGAGGCTCTTCTGAACGATGGAAGAAGGCTCGCCAATATGGCGAAAAGAGCTGTGAACGATTGACCAGGGATGCTGATAAGGTGAGGCTCTGTTCTTTCTGAGAGGGCTAAGTGGAAGGGAAGACCAGTGAGTGTGGGGTGGAAACGGAAGGGAGAACAATGCGTTATGAAGATCGACGGTGAATCGGTCACTGCATGACGAATCCTACGGCTGCAGCCGAGCTGGCCTGGTCAGGAAAGGTGAATAATGAAGCAAGGAACGTAGCAGATTGAATCATGGAAACAGCTGAGTTGCGGCTGGTCAGGGAGATGTGATGGCTGGCCATGTTGATGAAGCATGACATGGGATGACGGCAGTGGTGTGGATCATGGGATACAAAGCAATGCAATGCGTTTTAGTGGGTTTGAAGAGGGTGCAAGCAGTTATTGTGGGAGAAAGATCTGCTGGAGAGAAGAAATAATGTTGCAGCAGGGAGGAGATTGGGGAAGGAAAAGGTGTGCATGACGCAGTGCAGTGGGAGGATTTTTTTCGGTTGAACCCGTGTAGCCAATGGCGTACTCTGCACATGCTGCCCGAGCTACCTGTAACCAGTGGCACAGTAAAGGGGTTGGCTTGAGCACTCTCTAGAAGCGCATCTTCATGCACGGGAGAAGGGCACTGGGGACTGGCAGGATGAACCCATGGCCCTTCTCACACGTGCTATACTTTCAGATCAGACTGCGTGGGTTAGTCACCCACACTGGACTTAACACTCGAGGGTGATGTACCGGTAGGTTGCAAGCAGAGAAATTACTTTCTTATCCACGAAACTAGGCTAGCTCAGAGATATGTGACACACCAGCCAGCGGTGGTCGGTGAAAGTGATAGGATCAAAACATTTGAGGGCAGGAGATGTAGTGTCGCTGCGCTCTTCTGTATTGCCAAGCCTTGTTTCCAAACTGCAGAGACCAAGGGAACCACAGCTGGAAAAACGATGGGAACATGCTAGGGTGCCAAAATGGGAACGCACTTGGACCCATGAGACCCTTGTGAAAACGCGGAATCAGAAACCCTATCCACTCTTCCTTCGCATACGTCAGGAATATTTCTACTGACGTGGAAGCACACGCCAGATCCTCGATCGGCGCCAAAGAGCTCTGCCGTTGTGATTCGAGGAAGGCCAGTTTCTCTGGACATTCGCGTGGGAGGGGCTGCTGTGATGACATGAATGGACGTGGATGTCGAGGGTTCTGACGTGTAGTAATGGGTGCGACTGGGACATTTCCTGAGCCATTATCATGTCCCTCAATATAGCTACAACAGGTAACACCGTACACAAATACTTTTGGTTTACCTAAATACTATTTCCGGATTACATAAGTATTGTTTTGAAGTCCTCAGGCGAGTAGAGGAGAAAAAAAAAGTCAAAACAAAATGTCAATGCACTGTAGATAGAAAGTTCAGCAACATCAACCCATGACATAAGTTTCTATAGCCCCTCGCGTGTATACGTGTTCGACGAACGCTTGGGGATTCATGGACTAAAAATCGAATAGGTAGGATCGGCATATGCAGTTATAATCCCACCAGGGACTTAGCCAGGATCGTCAAGGTTGATCGCATGGAGATATTGCAGCGGAAGTAAGTGATTAGAGACCATAGTGAATATGAATTACTAAAATTGTTATAGCTATTGCATTACATAGACATACAAAGGAACACGAAAACTCCTAGCTGGTCATGTACTCTATGTGGTACATTCAATTGCAGCGAAACTCAGCCATGCGGCGAGGGAGCCCGTTACAACCCATTTTCGCCATTTCCATGTTAATTGTTTCTGCATGCATCGGTCATCGCCATAAAAACCCGGATATTTGAGGTTTTTTTTTTTTGTTTTTTAATGGGTGATGCTAAAAGCTCAGCTTATTTTTTCTTTCTTAAAGTGTACCCTGATCCGTCAAACAAAAATCGTGAACCCGCGCTAATTTCGCAAGTGCGATGGTTGCCATTATTATTGGTGGAATTACGTTGAGGTGCTATCAATCACGTAAGTGCAGCAAATACAGTCATTTTTTAGGGGGATCGGACGTCTTGCGTTATGGTTATCTCCGCGTTGGGAACAGTGAGAAGAAGTGAACGAGAGAATGGGTGAACTATGAACGAAGTGAGTACAAATAGGAAACCCTAGTTGGGTTGTACCCCCTATGGGATACCCCACTATAGCCTACAAAAACAAGTAAGCTATAATATTCTGATACACCCCCATAGGCAAAGTGGGGGAGAACAAGGGGTCACAAGATCAGTCAAGCAAAGCAAAGCAAAGCTCAGTGTGGATCACAAAGTCACCACACATTCCGAGCACAAGTTCAAGGGCCACAAGGCCAGTTCACATGCAAGATCATATATAGAGATATACAAGAGTCAAGCAAGCAAGAACAATAGTATATATAGGTCAAGGTACAAGCAAGGTCAAGAAGTCAGCAAGTGAGGCAAGACAGGCACAAGACCCAGCTGCGTGCAGCAACGCTGATGATCACAAGGCGCAAGTGCCTTGGTGAAGACATCAGCAGTGTTGGCCTCAGAGGCCAAGTACGCAAGTCGCAACTGTCCACGCTGCTGTAGCTCACGAGCAAGAAAGTAGCGGAGAGCAATGTGCTTTGTCCTGTGCTCCAGTCGCTGCTATCGACACAAGGCCAGCATGGCCTTGTTGTCTACGTACAGGACTGGAGGAGAACGAGGCGGCTCTCCAAGGTCGGTCAGCAGGTAGGTGAGCCAGCGAAGCTCCTGGGCAGCCATAGCCCCGGCGTAGATCTCAGCCTCACAAGTGGAGCCGAGAACAGAAGACGAGCGAGTAGCCCGCCACGAAACATAGCCGGAACCAAGGCTGAAGGTGTAACCCTGTGACGACCGCTGCGTAGCCTGGTCGTCAGCCCAAGAAGCGTCCGCGTGCCCAGTGAGGACCACTGGACTGCGCCCTCCAAGCACTAGCCCCATGCCCGACGTACTGCACAAGTAGCGCAACACCCTCTTCGCTGCAGAAATGTGCTCTGGTCGGTGTCTCCCAGGAGCAACATAGCGTGCGAGAATGCTAAGAGGGTATGCAAGGTCAGGTCGTATGCAGGTCATCAGGTACATGAGGCAGCCAACAAGCTCTGCATACGGACCACTCGACTCTACGGACTCATCCGAAGGCAGAGCTGAGAGCGAGTGGCGAGTAGGCAGAGGAGTGGCCTGAGGCGAGGAGTACATGAAGCCGAAGCGCTGAAGGACCTGCTGCACCATGTGTGACTGAGTCAGGGTAATGGTGCGGCGTGCTCTGTCCCGGGTGATCTGCAAGCCAAGGTAGCTGCGCAGTTCACCCAGGTCAGTGCACGTGTGTCTCTTCTGAAGCTCGGACTTCACGTAGGCGAGTCCAGTAGTGTCAGCTGTGGCAAAGACCAAGTCGTCGACGTACACGAGGATGTAGAAAGGCAGCAGAGAGGTGTCGGTGCGCAGAAACAGCGACGGGTCGGCAGTAGACGGAGCAAACCCAAGTGCCGCCAGCGTAGTCCTCAGTGTGTCGTGCCACTCACGTGGCGCCTTGCGGAGACCGTAGACTGGACGCCGAAGACTCCACTGGGTACCAGGAGGGAAAGACCCAGTGAAGCCTGGTGGGCGACGCAGCCAGATCTCCTCGTGCAGGCTGCCCTGCAAGAAAGCAGTGCTGAAGTCGAGGGAGTGCAGCTCGTAGTCACGGTGAGCAGCAACGTGCAGCAGTACCCGAAGAGTGGTCATCTTCGGGGTGGGGGAGAAGGTCTGAAAGTAGTCAACTCCCTGCCGCTGACTGAAGCCACGAGCCACGTAACGCGCCTTGAAGACAGGCGGAGAACCCGGCGGCCGCTTCACCCTGAAAATCCACATGCCACTGACTATGTTCGCCCCAGGAGGGGGAATAGCAACAACGTAGGTGCCTGTGGACTTCCAGGAAGCCATCTCTGCATCCATAGCTGCCTGCCACTGAGAGGAGTAGGGACCCTCTATCGCCTCCGCGTAAGAGCGCGGAGTCGGGATGTCTAGTGCATCCGGGTCTCCCTCAGGGGCGAGCAGTACAGACGCGAGATGAGGTGAAGCGGCGGCCAGACACTGGAACTCCTCCTGCCTGTCCTCAAGGACGTCCGTGCCAAGGGCACACTCACCTCCGACGGACGGAGGACAGGCAGACTCAGACTCAGCGACAAGACTAGCAGCGTAGTCTAGACGACAGCGCGCAGCAAAGTCGACGAGCTCAATGACAAGGGCAGACGCAGCAGAAGATTCGAAAGAAGGGTCAGTGACAGCAGTAGCAAGGAGACGCGTGACAGTGGGACTGGCAGCACGAAGAAAGTCCGACTCCGGGTCGGCAAGAGCAGGAAGAGAGGAAGAAGGAGGAGAAGGCAAAGGGGCACGCAGAGGAGCAATGGACGGACGCAGAGACATCCGGTGCGTGCCAGGGTCAGGAGGAGGACGCTGACGCGAGCCGCGACCACTAGTGCGTGCAGGACGAACAGGCGACGCAGGACGAGACGCAGGCTCACGACGCTCAGTAAGACCTCCAGTCGGACCAGCGTAGGGAGAAGGAGCACGTAAAGGGGAGGCAGGCTGTAGCTGTGACTGGGACTGGACAGGCTGTGGACCCTCTAAGGGAGGAGGAGGAGGACCAGGAGAAGGTGTAAGACCAAGAACCTGCTGCAGGAGCGGAACGAAGTACGGTTGGGGCCGCGTGGCGACGCCAGAAACAGCAGGGACAGCACAAGTACCCCTAGCAGGAGTACCCGCTCCAGCAGCACCTCCAGCAGC